GAGGAAAATTCATGATTTTAAATACTTTTATCACTAATGCACAAACAAAATAATTCAGGAAATAAAATATTTATTTCATAAAATTAGAAAATGAAAAACAAAGTAAAGCACAGCAATAGAATCACAGTAAAAGCAAAATTTAATATTAGAAAAAACACCCAGGAGAATGAAACAGATATATGAGAAGAAAACAGGAATCTCTGGCTGTGGTGACTTTCTGAGTTCTCACCACCACCTCACCTTGCCTGCATCTGTGTGAGATGAGTCATCTATCTCTCTGCTGTACACACACTGGAATTGCTTTTTATATGTAAATAGCCTTAATAACTTAGGAGTTGGAATACCAAATACAGAAAGTTTAAAGCATATGACTAGAATATTTGGTTACATAGACATTTTTAACTTGAGTTGGCAAAAAACTACATATATGTAAAAAAGTATAAATATGACTGAAATACAAATAAAATGAATATATAAAAAAATACACACATCCTTGATATACAGAACTGACAATATGCTTGCTGTACAAAAAAATCCAAAGTGGAAAAATCTTCTATATTACACAATAAATCAATCAACATTGTAAGCAGAAAACACATGCCAACAAAAATACACATTGGTAATAAGCATACTAAAATATGTTAACTGGCTCAGAGCCTGTGGCTCAAGCAGCTAAGGCGCCAGCCACATACACCTGAGCTGGTGGGTTCAAATCCAATCCGGGCCACCAAACAACAATGACAATTGCAACCAAAAAATAAATAAATAAATACTGGACATTGTGGCGGGTGCCTGTAATCCCAGGTACTTGGGAGGTGGAGGCAGGAGACTCACTTGAGCCCAGGAGTTGGAGGTTGCTGTGAGCTGTGATGCCACAGCACTCTACCCAGGGGGACAGCTTGAGGCTCTGTCTCAAAAAATAAATAATAAATAAATAAAATAAAATATGTTAACCCTACTGACTACAAAAAGGTAATGGGGAGCAGTTAGTTTTTGTATCTCAGCTTGCAAAAAATAAAAACATTACATGGGACACTGTGGAAACCGAGGATTCTGATGCGAAGGGCTGTTGGTAGGAATTTAAAGTGGGACGAACTTTACGCTGGTGTCCACACATTTGGGGACTAGATAATCCTCCCTCTAAGAATTCAACTCAAGGAAACACTGGGAAAGTTATTAAAATCGACCGTAGAAGCAGTGGCACCACATGATGGGTACAGCGGTGAAAAGCTGAAAACAACCTCAGCATCCACCCACCAACAAAGACTTGTGCAAACAGTGTTTACTCTGATAGCAATGAACACAGTTGGGTGACATGAAAAGAGTGTCGAGGAAGATCGCTGAGATATTTTTAAAGGCAGAGGATAAAATAGAACATGCAATAGATACAAATATATATCTATTGATATAAATATGTGTGTGGTGCCATGTCTAGAATAGTTGTCCCCTCTGAAACTCGTGCTGATGAGTTTCAACGTGGCTGGGTGGAAAGGTGGGGCCCTCACAATGGGTCAGTCCATTCACTGACTAGTGGATTAATGGATCAGTGGGCTATCTTGGGAGTGAGACTAACGGCTTTATAGGAAGGAGAAAGACCTGAGCTGCATGGTCAGCCACTAACCACACAACGCCCACGCCAATTTGGAATTCTGCAGAGAGTCCTCACTAGCAAGAAGACCCCCACAGACGCTGCTCCATAATCTTGGACTTCCCCACCTCCAGAATGTAGGAAATAAATTCCATGTATTTTTAAATTACCCAGGCTCAGCTATTCGATTGTAGAAACAGAAAATGGACGAAGATATACGGACATAAAGATACGAGTACAAACAGAATTCTTTCTTCCTGGGTGAATTATTTATTATATTTACGTCCGTCTTTATGCTTGTCAGTTCCATTTGGATACTTCTTGTTAGTAATGAACACATATAATTTTTGTATCATGATAGAAATAATTGTCATGCTAGTTAAAGGGTTAGAAGGAAAATCTACTAAAATTCTGTCCCACTCCTTAGTTATGTGGTCAAAATGAAGACTAAAATGGGAAAAAAATCCGTTTTCCCAATGTCGTACAGAGAGCTGTGAGGACGTATAAAGCGAGCACAGTCACCACGTTCAGGGCGTGGTGGGTGGGCTGGCACTTTTCTAATCCTCAGCTAAATGTGCTCAGCAACATCTTCAGCAGAAGGTGTTCACATGCCTTGACTCGCTTCCAGAAAGCTCAGCAAGGAAATAATCAGTGATGTGGACAAAGATTTATGCACGAGGATGTTCATGCATTTTTCTTTTATAATCATAGCTTAAAAAATGAAACCATGTACTTGTCCACAGTAGTGGTGTGTGTGCCTATCTCCAGTAAGTCATTCATTCAACTTGCATTCACCGAGGGGCTCCTTTGTGCCAGGCTCTTTGGCAGTCCCTGGGATCCCTCTGTCCACCTCTGGGAGCACATCATCAAGGTCGTCTGCCAGTAAAGACAATCAGCTAGTTCCACAAGTAAGTTAGGTGCTAGCCAGCAGGCATGTGCAATATTACTTTATAATCAAAGAAGAAGACAAAAAGAGGAATGCAAGTTTGTGTGGAACATCTATTTATCATCTCAAGAAACAATCTGCTGCCCAAGTGAGGAAGAATTTCTGATGTCCAGAAATGGCCATTTATAAACCGGTAACCATTCAACAGAGAAGAGACAGGTGCAGGCTGTCA